GATGTCTCCAAAGGTCAAGTTATTTTTCTGCAAAAAATTTGTTATCAGAAATCGCGGCCGCCGTTTCGTGCACTGTTCTGTGACGAAAACAAGCTTGAGCAACGGCGTAGTCGAACGGTGCACACTCGGTAAGTAATCCTACAATTTTTTGTTTATAGCATAATTTATACGGATTATTCCCAAAAAATTATACGTGTTTTGGAAATGTTGAGTGGAATTAGTCTAGAATCGGTTAATTTTATAGAAGAAAACCTTTCAAACAGCCTTAGTCCGTAAACTTCACACGTATTGGGCTGCGATTGGCTCATGTATTTAATGATTCCTACAACGTAAAATTCAATTAACGTGGAACATATCTAAGCGTTATAGCGGGGTCTACTGTAATTCATCCTTGATATCAAGAAACTCTGCAAATATCTTTTGATTTCAATTATATGACAATATATATACAGTTAAATATAAAAAGAATGATAATGCAGTTAAAATTAAATAAATTTTCATTATTTTTAAATAATTTATATATTGACTTCACAAAGGATTATTGTCCTTGGTGTAATAAAAAAAAATTTACTATAATTCACTTATTAAAATACTGTAAAAAATTTGAAAATATGCATAAACAATATAATGTTATAGAAATTCTACAGTTAAATAAATCTTTAAATTATAAAGTACTACTAAATAACTTGTCAAAATTTCAATTGTATTGTTTGAATAATTTCTTTAAAATGTTACTAATGAATTAAATACGACCTAAAAGTATAAAAATAGATAGAAAATATTAATTTTAGTTTGTCAACAATATTTATATAATTTTGTTAAAATGTTTGTGTTCAACTGATTGTAATACAATTGTATTTGTTATTTACAGTCGATTCCCCTATAACACTGTTGATTATTCCGTGTTATATGAATTCCATGTTGTACGAGTCACTTAGATTTTACAAATATGTGAGCCGGGCTGTGAATGATTCACGTATTTGTAAAATCTAAGTGATTCGTACAACATGGAATTCATATAAAACAATAATCAACAGTGTTATAGGGGAATCGACTGTATTACAAATTGTAACTGATTTATTTAATAAGGAGATAAAACTATCTTATCCCCCTTGTAACAAGTTAAATCTTAAATACAATAAATTTGTCTATATAATAATAATATATTATGTATATTTTACTTTTTAATATTTGAACTAGTGTTTATTCTGGCTTAGTTTATATGAATATCCTTTCAGATTATTAAAGAAGTTAACTGGATAAGTTAATTTAAATATGATTTAAAGTACTAATAAAAAAGTATGACTAAAAAATGAACAGTAAATAAATTCTTTCATAAATTATAATTTAATTCTTTATCTAATATTCTTTAACATAATTAATATTCTTCTTAAATAAAAATTTAAGAAGTTAAAATACTTCATGTTCCCTAAAATAATCTCTTAAATATAATTCTGAAGTATTTCTTTTATTTAAAAAAAAGATTCAAAGAATACAGTCTAGAAATTATAATCCACAAATTTTCTTACCGAATTGTTTTTATTCGTTTCATCTCGTCCATCAAGTTTCTTCAAAGCTAATTCAGCAGCATGCTTTTTTGCATCTTTTTTTGTTTTATCCCAGGCTTCAGCCAAAACAGTATTTCCGACAAGTGCCACTGCTTTAAATCTGAAAAATTAAGATAAAATTTATTTCTAGAATTAAAATAAATTTTTATTAATAGTAGTGCTTTATCATTTTAGGTATCACTGATGATTTATCATTTTAGGTATCAGCTATTTTGCATACTTTTTACAAATATTTAAATAAACTTATAATTATTATATGCATTCATAATTTAATTTTATGCTTTATTACATTAATAGATCTACACCTGGTAATTAAATATTACTAGATATACAAGTTATCCAAAATTCAATTAATTATATTTCTACTTTCAGGCTGTTATATATAACAGAGGAACAGTATGGTGAGCTGAAAAATGACCCCCACAAGATTTTTGCACTTTTGGACTTGGGGCCTTCAAACATCAAGAAGTGTAAAAAACATTTGAGGATTTTTTTGTATGTATAGATATGTTAGTGGGTGGGCGAAAGGCACAATTTTGTTCACCTTCTTTGAAGCTTAATAACGCCTGTGCTTTTTGTCAAATAATGCTGAAATTCTGTAGAAGGTTTGTGTATTAGGAAATTAATGCTATTAAAATTTTGGTGATTAAGAGTAAAGAGGGTGGGGAGATAAAGGGAGTCGTGTATCTCTAGTAGGGTCAGACTTAATGACGATTTTACTCGTTATTAGCATTTCCAATTTTTTATAAAATCCATCCCTACCCTCAAAATTAAGCTTTTTGCCATTTTGTAATAGTTAAAAATATGAAATGTTTTTTAATAAAATATGACAACAAATTAGCACCACCAAATATTGCCAGGAAAGCTAAGCAACTCATTGCTGGATTTTTTTGTAAGGATAGTTAAAATCAGTTTAAAAATATGTAATTTTACAACCTTCAAAAATGAAGGGTACTTCTAAGAAAATAATCACACTGAGCTTCTCATCAGTTTTTTTTTAATCATCAAAGAGATTTACTTATACTATCTTTATATGCATTTCAAACTGTATATTCTGATGGTTCCTTTCAGTAGGTGATACAGAAGCACAAAGTTAGTAACACAATTTGAACAGTAACATTCCAGAGTATCGAGATACTTTGATATTAAAATCAGTTTGAAACAACTGAATATAGTTTATTCACAATTCAGTCACACTCAATGAAACAACTGAATTTAACAACAATATATGTGATAATTTGTTGATGGTCAACTCAGTAACAAAAATTTTGAAAATTACATATAGAATATTTTAATCTGATACCATGACAGCAGATATTCTGGATTATAAAAATTTTTGGACTTAGTTGTTCAGGCATTAGTAGCTTTGTTCTTTTTATTCAATGATAATATTAATTATACTTATAAAACAAATTTTATTAATTTATGAAATTATTTTTTCCAAGGATGACAAATAATAACAACTATAGTATTGTATTAAAAATTTACAAACTAATATTTTATGTAATTGTTGAAAATTCCACACAACATACAGGATATAAACTGGAAAAAGTAACAAACATCCATCTTCTCTGATATAAATTCACCATTCTTACTTAAATATAAATGTATACTTCAGAACATTGAAAAACATGGTAGATGTAAATTTTTAGATTTCTCAGAATTGTAAGTTTCATAAACATATTCAAACAGTGAAAGTATAATAAATAAATTTTTGTTTTATATGAATGACTTCTTCCAATTAAATTTTGAATATTAAAAATATAAACGTGCAAAATTAAAATTTGAAATGATGATAAATTAAAGATATCTTCTTACTCACTTACTGGAAGTACTGACAAACACCAAAAAACCTTTTAAAATCCAGTAACCCAAATAAAATGTTTAATGAAATCAAACAAACACTTTCGACCTTAACCAAGATCTATTTCAGGTTTATAAACCAATGGAATTCCAAAATTGGAATGTGTAGAACTGAAAGTTTTAAAATATATTTTTAAACAATTTGGAATACATAACTCTTACAAAAATTATAAGTGCATGAATTCAAAATATACATAAGACAACATATATGCACAAATTATTTTCGGAACAAGCCTAAAAACAAATAATAAAAGTCAATTTGTGTCAGCACTGCCAGGTTTTTCATACAAGTATTTCCAGGCATATGATACAGTACTACTGTCCTTTAAATTGTTGCACTTACCATCAGGCCAGCCTTGTATATTTCTAAAGCTTCCAGAGTTCTAATATGATTGATTTAGAAGAGGCCTGGCCAACACGTGTCCTGTCATGTTAAATTGTGTGGCCTACTAAGCGATTTTATATATCTATTAAAACTTTTGTTTCTCGTTGTGTATACTAAAAAAATTAAATAAAATGAAAATTTGCACATGTCATTGTTATAATGTGCAAATGTGACTACAAACACCAGTTCTATATTTGGTACTTGTGAAACTTTGTCCCAGATGTTGGTGCCGGCCTGGCAAAAAACATCTCAACTAGTACCTGTATCCCCTCAAAACAAATTGACCCGACCGATTAGCCTACATTAAACAGACATGTGTTATCAACTCAGTCCATTTCATTATTTTAATGTTGTTAAGATTATTGCAAAGTTTAACCCATAGGATGAATTCAAAGAAAAGAAAAGTTGTTGATAAAAACAGGATATTCAATGATCGCTGGGAAAAAGACTATTTTTTCACAATTCAGAACTCAAAATTAACGTGTTTAATTTGCAGAGAGACGATCACTGTATTTNAACAATTAATTATGAAAATATTCTCCATTTTTAACTGAAACAGAATTACATATCAATATAAAATATTTAAATTTTCCTCATACTGATTTTCTATCAAAATAATTATTTTCATATAAAAAATTTGTTGATACTGTAATAGGATATGTAAAATTCAGTAGAGTCAGCACACGTTTTATAAAATTTAACACCATAATTCTTCATTACATACAAAATTGGCGTTTTAAATTTAAAAAAGTAACGCCTATCTTGTTTTCCTGCTTATAACAAAATTTCCCGTTTTGATTAACTATTCATCCCAGTTTCATCTCGTTAGCTGCAAAAAATGATTCCCGACTTTTGTCAAGGAATTTATTCGTTTAATATCAATTTAATAAAAGTACATATTTTTATTTTTTAAAGCATGGTATTCGATGGGGCTAGGTCAATAAAAACTGATGGATCATGTAACTTAAAACATTTGATGAATTACGCATTAGTCATCACATTATGATGTTGCACGAAAGAGTAAAGCTGTGTTTACTATAATTAAATAAAGTTTATATATAATATCGATTGCTATCACCTTCAAATGTTTAAATTTTTTCAGCAGTAAATGAAATTCTATCTTTCTACAATAATAATAGTATATATATAATTAAAAAATGGTAAAAAATTGACTTTAAACTTACAGCTAACGGTTCGATCGGAACCTGGTGTTTTTGCATTATTAGACATGCTGGCTTTTCAATTTTAAAAACGTACTACTGAAACGAATAAACAGTTAAAATGTGGAACAGACGAACCGTTCACAACATCCGACAAGATGGCGTCCAGTGATGCGACTGCGCATTATATCATGCGCATGCAGACGATATCCTAACAAATTTCTTTTCCTTTTGTCGGTATAATTTTAATTAATTAATTCTAATATAAAGTAAGGAAATAATATAATTAAAGAATTTATCCGAATTTAAGCCAATAAGTCATCGATTTAAATAATAATAAATCCAATTTGGACAAGCAGACGATATGCAGCAATATAATATAGCCTAAATGGTTTTTAAATCAACTTCATTATGATTTGAATGTTAATTAATAAATTACATGATTTTATATTAAATAATATACTGAAAACTTCGATGCTTATTCGAATATTTAAAAAATTAAATATAAAAATTTTCGTATAAAAATTATAACTTCGAATCGACTTTCGCAACAGTATGATTGTCGGGGCAACAGGGGGTAATAAACTGTACGAAAGTATTGTCTTAAGTTATTAATAAAAAAATCAATTATTTAAAACGGCGCTATATTTTTAAAACTTAAAAACAGATTTTAAAATATTTTTGTTTATTTTTTTCCTGTTTACATTTAATTCTCTTAATAAGCTGAACTTGGCACTAAGCAGGAGGTCCAATCGTATATCGCGCGCTCTAGGTTATTGAAAGAAACTGACGTCACAACAGTGACGTAAAATGATAATCTTGGCTTTCCTTATTTTGCAGGAAAATGTCCTTCAATAAAACAATATGAAAATTTCATAAAAGAAGTGATTGAAGTATAAATAAAAACTATTCAAATACACACATTTATTATAAATAATTTATTCTTCACGTTAACGTACATCTTTTATTATGTAGAGGTTTAATAATTATTTACACAATGATCAGTTTTATTAAGTTTTTGGAGATGGTAGCCTTAAAGATGTACTGTAAAAACTATATTCAAAACAAAAACTATACTAANTTTTTTTTTTTTAAATATGTAGTATTTTCAGATCTTTTGCAAGCTATTTTGAAACTCAATAAAGTTAAAAAACATATTTTATCTTTCAAATGGAATGTGCAATCAAAAATTTCTTTCTTTATAGGCTTATATAATACTGTAACACATATTAACATTCTTTAGTTTTTTTAATCTAAAATTACACTAAATATTGGTATAATGAATTACATCATTACTTGTACAGATCACAAAATTTTAATACATTTTTTTGCATAAAAATATAAATTATTTCAATGTAAACTTATTTTGTTTTTGATGTTTTCTTTAATATCCTAAAAAAAAATTAAAACAAAATTTAGCTTGAAATATCTCTAAAACTTTATTAAAAAATTCCTTTAAGTAATAATGTACAAATATCAACTCTCTTGAATACCTGTACATTATTAAAATGATGAAAAGCACAAACACATAAGATGCATTTGATGTTGATGAAACCAGGTTTGACAAAGAAAAGTATATCAGAATGAATACAAATACAGGTAACCCCCATATAACATGGCACTTCTATAGCACGGAAAGCCACTAATAACGGAGAGCCACTAATGTTTAAATATTGTAATTTTTTAATGATGTTTTTATTATAGTGTTTATTATTATAGTCAAATAAATTTTTCAATAGTTTGATTTCAGTGGCATGTGGAGTGCTCAATACTTGAAAAAAGTAATTATGTGGAACCCCAGTGTATATAGGTTGCCAACCACTGGCCTAAATCATGACAAATACAAATTAATATAATTCCATATTCTATTATTTATTATAAAGAACTTAGAGAAAGATACTAGAACTTGTCAAGAGAAGTTCCTTTCACAATTTATTTTAAAATTAAGTAACATAAGAAAGAAAATTATATTGCTGATAACATCAGAAATAGAATCTAACTTTGTCTAAAACTCATGATGAAATACAGATTTAAAAGATTATAAAATATAAAAATTAGTTAATATTCTAAACCTTTCTATTAAATTTGAAATTTACCTTTTAAAGATAGTAAATATTGAAATTGTAAAAACAATTATAAACAAATAAACAAAAAATAATTATAATGATTAGATAGTTAATTGAAACAATATCTTAGAATTGTATAGTGATATGAAAATCAGAGGAATAACTGTATGATTTTATGGAAATTCTTATTGAAAAATAAATCATGAGTCATTAAATCCAATATTTTCAGATTAGTTAGGGACATATTGAGAGTATTAGATGGACAATTGCAGAGAAGGCTCCTTTCAGTCAATAAATTCTTAGAGGTTGTAAGAAATTATTTATTGGAGGAAAAGAGATTTACACAATACAAACTTTGAAATAATCCCTTTCTGCTGTTTTGCATTTCTGCCAACATCTGTACCATTGCTGAAGCAGTCAGCAAAGCCATTTTTTGCAACTACTCTGAAAGTTGCTGTTGTCACTGCTTGAACCTCATGTTATGAAACATTGAACTTTCAGCTGTTCCTTCATTCTGAAGGAAAAAAAAGTATAAGATACTAGGGAGTAAGACAGTTGTAGAAGCAAGAACAAGTTGAGACATTGTTCCTGGACAAGTACTCTGTGATCACAGTGGATTGGTGACATCTGATGTAGCAACATTATTTTCAAGACTGTTGCAAAATATTGCTTTGCTGACAGCTTTCAGCAGGGTTATAGATGCTAACGAATGGCATAGATGCAGGAGGAAATTACTTTAAAGGTGGTATTGTGTAACTCTTTTCCTTCAATAAATAGTTTTTTACAACCTTTGTCTCAGAGCTTATTGATTGAAGGAAGTATTCTTTGCCAAAAAATAGTTCAAATTTAGAACAGAAAGGGGGAATAAAGGATGCAATAAGCAAATGAGGATAGAAAGAAAGTCTGAAGAAAGAAGCAGGAATTTCCTAGTTTGTTTTGTAGTTTGAAAAAGGCCTTTGACAAGAGATTGAATTGCAGAAAGTTGCTTAAATCCATTAAAAAAAAAAAAAAGGAATGGTAGGAAAGAGAGAAAATTACTGTATTTTCATTACATATAACCTGTTAGTTAACAACATTTAAAAGTCAATTTGAAATAAATGTGAGCTATATGCCAAATTTAAATTGCAATCACAAATTTCCACTATGTAGTAACTTAATGGCTGCTCACACAAGCATGGAGCATATGGTGGAGGAGATTATGCAAATATTTTATTTTTGTTCTAGAAAGTTTTTACTAGTACAGGTTAAATACTACTGGGGTTATATGCATGAAAATATGATAATCTGAAATCTAAATAGCAGTCATAAAGATAAATAGAACTTGGCACAGATGGAAGATAAGATTATTGCATTTCTCTGATACAGCAGAACTCCAATTATTTATTTATTTATTTATTTTCAAATACAATAGGAGTAGTCTTGTGACAATAGATTTCCCCCTAATTAACAGTAAAACCCCAATTAAAATACATAAAATACAAGAAAGCAATATATAACAAGCAGTAGCATAAACAGTATAAAATTATAAAAAAGAAAAAAAAAATTATCCAAACTAATTGGGATCAGAGGTAATTTTGATAATAGTTTGAATAACCAAAACCAGTGGCAGATACAAAGGGCTATAGGAGTTTAAGCCCTCCTCACTGGTTATTTTTTAAGTTACTTTCTCAGAACTCAAAACATCAATTTTAAAAATATTTACTGATATGTTTGCAAATATGATTTATCAGACTTTAAAACAATACAATCATCATACAAATATTAATAAAAGATACTGATTATTTATTGTAAAACGTAAAAATTAATTATTCAAAATAATTCAAATTAACCAATTTCATTGATTATTAGGTAATACAGCTTAATTCACACTGAGAGCAAATCGCTGGTACAAGTGAAAAACAGAATGAATAACAAGTCATAAATGACATCATTTCCAGCAAATTTTATCATTTTGTGAATTTCTTAGAAGTTCAAACTTTTTCACTAGCAAAAAAATTTTACCACCTATCACGATGCTATTTGTTGTCAAATATTTCTAATAGTTTTTAAGATGGTTACAAAATCATCACACAATAGAGCAGACATCAAAATTAGCATGATATTCTTGCAATTCACATTTAAACATTTCTTTTCACCCAGCATTGTTTTCTTTTTAATGTATCTTTCATATTTTTAAACAAATATGAAACAATTGTTAAAAAAACAGGATGCCAGAAGTGTTTTGTTTGTATTGATGACATCTCTCTCTTGCTTGCTAATGATTGGCTGCTCAAATTTGCAATCACTTTTTGCTTTTTACAGTCTACACCAGTTTTAAATTCATTTTTTGCTTTTTGCTATTTGTTCAAGTGTGAACTAAGTAATTCCAGCTTCAAATTATCCAAAAATAAAAAAAAATATTTGAATTAAACAGGTAACATTTAATAGGAAACTCAAGGGAAATTAGTAGAATTTGAATTAACCAAGTTCAAATTAGCAAAGTTCAACTGTATTTTTAATTTTTGAGTTCGGGTTCAGTGGCAAGTACAGAAGTACCTTTTGGGTACTTTTGTACATGCCACTGAACTGAACACCAAATCAAATATGCTAGAAAAGATTTATGTGAATGCATCACACCAGAATAATAAAATACATTCATGTTTGTGAAATTGCAACACCATGAAGGAATTGTGCAAATTGAACCAAACTTACAGGAAATGTAAAGTGGGGTAAGACATGTAAATGAATAGAATTACAAAGCAATTGAGCATGCGTGGAATGAGAACTGGCTGTTTATCAGCCACTTGACTTGTTCCAGGTATATAAAGGACTGTAAAGATGCATTGAAATCTGTTTATCTTCCTCTGTATGCAGTAAACATTTCGTTGGTGGTCAATATGTCTCAACAAAAGTGGAGGAAGCCATACCAACAATTAACAGAGTTCGTACGAGGCCACATCATCAGTATGCGAGAGGGTGGATTTTCGTATCGAGAAATTGCAGCCTGCACACAGTGTAATGCCGCAACAGTGACGCATGTTTGGAAGAAATGGACAGAGGAAAACCAAATGAGGTGAAAACCTGGCAGTGGGGCAAGCAATAGTACAACGGCATGGGACAAGAGAC